TTCCATGATCTCTCGAGGTTTGGGATTGAAGGATGTTTAGCTTCAGGGTTTTGCTTGCAGTGTTGGGGTTTAGGATTGCAAGGGGCTCAGTAATTACGGTTTAGGGCTGATGGGCAGCCCAGTGGGGTGATAGCACTTGTAAGCACTTTCGTACCTATGACCCACTTTGAAGTCTGCCAATCCTCGAAGCAGGGCTTGTCGGATTTCGGTGGTCGGAGTATAGGGTTTAGGGTTTAGGATGTACAAAGGTCAGGTCAGGGATACGGTTTAGGGTTTAGGGTTTAGGGAGGGAGGAAGGGAGGTAGGGAGGGTCGGACTAATCAAAGGTCGCATTTCTGTCGTGCCGTGCTTAGCGTCTACTTAGATCGGTTGATGAACTCTGTTAGGGTTTGGGGCTTGGGGTTTAGGGAACACCCCAGCCAAACTGGCAATACAAGCTACTGGCAATCGAGCTCTGTTGGCCAACAAACTGGGGAACTGGACTGGCAGTGGTGAAGAGTCGGCGCGCAGCTGCTCTGCTTTCGATCGAAGAGTTTCTATAGTTAAGAGTGGTGGAACGGATGTACCTTTCACGTAGTAGTTGATTACGGCGTACTCCTTAAAGTTTTGATTTTAGGGGTTACATAGTGCCGCCATAGTTGGGAATGTTGCCTGGTTTCTGGCCAGAGAAATCAGGGCAACAGGTTTGGGGTTCAGGAACCCAAAGGCCCCAAACCCTAAACCCTAAACCGAGGAATGCGGTTTAAGGTTTTAGGGTTTAGGGTTTAGGGTCTTTGAGGTTCAGGGGCAGTTTGGGCTTCCAAAACGCTCTCTTGTTGGGAGCCGGTACGGACCAGGAGTAGGTCAATATCAACGGCGCAGCTCATATCCTAACCCCTTGGACGCACTTGAAGGTTGTTCACCCGTGAGGCGAATCCCGCAAGGATCTTGCTACGATACATCAATAGATTAAGAGAGATACGAGGTTACTAAAACCTAAATCCCAACACTTGAGCGCCAACGGTGGCAGGCCTGTGCACGACAGCAGGAATGCCTAAACCCCTATGTCAACCCTAAACCATCAGGAGCCTTTGCTCTTCGCATGCTGGGTCGGGCGGGACCGCGGAGAAAAACAAACGATTCCACTTCCCAGGCAAGCAAACGGATTGTCCTCACCCTGCATCAGCCAATCTTGAACATCCTCTACCACGCAACCGTCCTGCGGAACCCAGCAAAACTACATGGATCTCCTGACCGATTCTGATGGTTCAGGGCTTAGGGTTCTAGGGCCCGAAAACCCATTACACAGTGTTTGAGAGATACTTACAAGTAAACCCTAAACCCTTAACCCCTAAACCCTAAAACCCCTAAACCCTAAACCCCAAAACCCCTAAACCCTAAACCCCAAAACCCCTAAACCCTAAACCCCCAAAAGTGTTTGAGAGCTCCCCAGCCTTTAGGGTTTAGGGGTTTAGGGTTTAGAAGTATGGGCTCCGAATATGGAACCTTGGGCCTTTCTAGGGACCCTTAAGGGTATATAGTGGGTATATCAGGATCCCAGGCTTCAGGGCCCATACTAGGGGCCCATGGTTTCAACCTTAGATCCAAAGCCCGTCATAGGGTTTAGGGTTTAGGGTTTAGGGTTTAGGGGTCAACCTTCGACCTTAAAAAACCGCGCCCCAAGCCACCAATCCGCCAAAGGCCAAGAGCCCCTCAGCCCCCAGACCCTACACCCCTAAACCGCTAAACTCTTAACCCTCAAACCCCCAAGACCCTACACCCCTAAACCCCAAGCTCTCAACCCTAAAACCCTCAAAACCTCTAAAACCCCCCTAAACCCTTAAGAGCCCTAAACCTCGAACCTTTAAGCCCTAAACCCTAAACCCCAAACCCTAAACCTCGAGCCTCTCAGCCCTAAACCCTGAACCCTAAACCCTAAACCCTAAACCCTAAACCCTAAACCTCGAGCCTTTCAGCCCGAAGAGCCCTGGAAGCTCTGAGGCTTGAGGTGAACGAAGTCTATAAGGTGGTGAAGTCCGGATCCCGAGCTGAGGGTTTAGGGTTTAGGGGTTTAGGGGTTTAGGGTTTAGGGTTTAGGGGTTTAGGGGTTTAGGGGTTTAGGGTTTAGGGTTTAGGGTTTAGGGGTTTAGGGTTTAGGGTGGTGAAGTCCGGATCCCGAGCTGACGGGGTTCCGGGAATTTCCCGGGCGAGTTCAAAAGATCTTGAAAGTCTTCAGTTTGCATCTAAAGCAGGGATCATAAAAACCCAAAAAATCTTTCAGATTACTACGAAACTATAAGGACCCAAACAATTTAAAGGTTGGGTATTGGAGAACTAAGAAACCCACAAGGACATGTCTCCTTGATCGGGGCCTGAGCGTAGAACCCCACACACCTCCCAAGTAGGGCACATGTTCTCTGGCAGGCTACAGGCGTGGACAACACCGAACACATACTTACAAGTAAACCCTAAACCCCCAACCCCTAAACCCCTAAACCCCTAAACCCTAAACCCTAAAACCCCTAAACCCTATTAAACCCTATGAAACAACCCGAAGCGACCTTGAACCCGAATCCTCACACCCCTCTCTTCTTCAACAACAAGGCCCAAAATAGCTCAAACTTTTTAGGATATTTAGGGTTTAGGGTTTAGGAAAGTTCAAACTTTTTAGGACATTTAGGGTTTAGGGTTTAGGAAAGTTCAAACTTTTTAGGATATTTAGGGCTTAGGGTTTAGGGCCAAAAACTTGAAAGTTCTCCCATTGAGGACCTGAGACCCTAACAGGCCATGCTCAACCGAACCAACCGCCTCAGCAAACCCTCATCCCCGAACACCTAAGAGAAACGTGTCTTGTGCCATATGCAGTATTTTAGACTTCTTCTTTTTATTATACTATCATTGTTATAATTTCCTTTGATTTCCATGGCTTATTGGGGAAGTAAGGTTTGTCAGAAACGTTGACGGTAGCACATGATAGTGCTGCTGGAAATGCATAGGTTCAGATTGCAGGAATCTTCACAGTGACCCTAAACCCTAAACCTCACAACGGACCTTTATCCTCAACCACAGACTGGCGGTGTAGTACTTCAGGGCTTCAGGGTGGTGGTTTAGGAAATGTGGGTGGACATGTCTCCAGTCTCCCGAAGAAAAGATTTCGGTGGCTTGGAAGTTAGGGTCAAGGTGTAGTTCAGAAGGAATCCAAGACCCAGACCACCGGGAGGATCCAAAAAATAGATCCCCGAAGGGATTCCTATAAAGTACCCTTTAGTAGTTAAGGTCCCAAATTAGGGGATCTATTTTTTAGATCCTCCCGGTGGTCTGGGTAGTTCAGAAGGAATCCAAGAGTAGGATGAAGGTAATATAGGAGCCTTAATGCTTAGAATAGGGTTTTGGGCATATTAGACTATTATAATAATAAGGAACCTCCAACATAGTATAGGTAATTATTTAGGCTCCCACATTAGGCGCGCTAATCCCACAAAAGGATGCTTGTAGAAGGGATCCTTCAGTCTACCGTATCGGTTGGGGGTTTAGGGTTTAAGGTTTAGGGCATCCTTCCTATTATTGAGGCCCCTTGAGAAGTCGCTTTGTAGGTCGTTCCGCTATATTATACAAGTTTCCTATAAGCTTGTCTCACAGTTGGATGTTCGCGTTGGCTCTAAGGATTTTTGCTTGCTCTGTCCAGTCGAAAGTCATGATACTCAGAAGAAGAAACCTGCAGAGGCATTGAACGCCGGCCTCCCGTACTCTAGAGGTCGGAATACTTATTTATTATTAGCTTTCTTAGTATATAGTTTCTTACCTTAATTATTCTTATCATTCTTCTGCGGACAATGTCCTTTACCCCTAAGCCTATTCTAGTTTTCAATGTCCCTGCATTACCAGCTTGATAACTCCCTGCCTGGAAGGCGTAAAGCACCCGACATCCCTAAAAACCAAATCCCTATCAGACCCTGGACGTCCCCTAATATTGCCTTTCCTGCTCATATCTATATACATGTGCCTTGAAACCTTTTTTTCAGTGTTACGAGCCCCTATACCCTAAACCCAAAGCCCTATAGTAACTCGGTCCCAGGCACCAGCTGCGGCAATACCGGAAGACTCTGGGTGGGGAGACGGCAGTGGCTCCTTGGCCTCAGGGCGGCTTATTGTGTGGGGCTTGGGTTGTAGGCTTTAATTAAGGCTTCGGGTTTGGGGTAGTCAGTGCCCAGACCACCGGGAGGATCCAAAAAATAGATCCCCGAAGGGATTCCTATAAAGTACCCTTTAGTAGTTGGGGTCCCAAATCAGGGGATCTACTTTTTAGATCCTCCCGGTGGTCTGGGTGTTCAGGTGGTTTGGAAGAGTTCAGCGAAGCAGTAGGCCTGGTCTTTGTTGTGCGAATCTAAGCCCGATGTGGGAGTTTCCGAAAATGAGGGGTACCTTGTTTGGGGTCCGTATAATAAGGATCCTACTATTTAGGGTACTATATTAGGTCCCCTGTTTTCGGAAGCCCCCATGTAATCTTCATTCTTCTTGGGATGGAGATTCAGGTTTAGGGCTCTTCTGTAGGTACTCTAAGGCTGAAGCGGGGACGGGTGTCTTTTCTTTGAGTGCTTCATCGAACCGATGATAGGGGAGCACGATGCCTTAATACCGTTACGTGGGATGTTTGGATGCAACAGGCGCCCTCCGGCAAAACCAATGCATAAAGAAACATGTCGGGGTTTCCGAAAATAGGGGACCCTAATATGGCACCCCAAATAATAGGATCCTTATTATAAGGACCCCAAAATAAGGTACCCCTAATTTTCGGAAGCTCCCATGTGTAGCTATCTACGGGTGTCTTTACCTCATGCATGCATTCATGGATGCATGGATGGATGGATGTCTATATGTGGGCCAGCTACATGTTACCACAGCACATACAGCCAGGTTCCTGCTGTTGTTCTTCAAGGTGGTCGTTGTACCCTAAACCCTAAACCCCCTTTCGTCGCTATGCAGGGTTTCGAGCCGAGCCTCGGGGAGAAGCTCAGGTGAACATGCCTTTCCGCACCCTCACGCAAGCTGGCTTCACCGTCTACAAGGACCTCATAAATCAAACCGGCGCTGCGATGATATATGATAGCACTGTATCTTATGTACCACGTATTACACATCACATGTTATGTTATATATACAGGTGTATATATATATATATATATTACGTATTCTAAGGGAGTAAGGTTGAATGATATCTAGACCACCGCGAGGATCTAAAAAGTAGATCCCCTAATTTGGGACCCCAACTACTAAAGGGTACTTTATAGGAACCTTTTAGGGGATCTATGTTTTGGATCCTCCCGGTGGTCTGGGCCGGCATTCGGCTGAGGATTTAGGGTGTTGGAGGATTAGGGGTTTAGGGATTGAGGGGCTTAGGGTTTAGGGATTCGGGCGTTGGGGGTTTTGGGGTTTAGGATTTTGGGGGCTTGGGGTTTTCACACGCATTTCAGGGGTCCGGGCTTGCTGAAAGGATCAGGGAGCTCAGCACATGCACTTCAGGTAAAGGTTGGAGTCAGCACACCCTAAATTCCGAACCTAAGTGTACATCAAAACTCGAGTTGACGTATCTGGCATAGCTAGAAGCACGACTATTGAATGAGGGTCTTCTGCAACTCTCGGTACTCTTGCGACTGGGAGCTCTTCTGAAGTAATAACCCAAACTCAGGTCATCACCTCTAAGCCCTAAACCCCTAGAACCTAACCCCCTGAGCAAAGTAATCATTCCCTGGACCCATCTTGCTATCATGATATCCCCTTTACTTCGTCAAAATTGCCCAAGTCGTTAACACTAAACCTTAAACCTCAGCATCGAGAAACTGTAGGTTTCGGCTTGAAGGGCTTCTGGGTGTGGGGGGGGGGGGG